AGGTATATATATATGATAGTGACATTACCATAGTAAAGGTATATATATATGATAGTGACATTACCATAGTAAAGGTATATATATGATAGTGACATTACCATAGTAAATGTATATATGATAGTGACATTACCATTGTAAAGGTATATATATGATAGTGACATTACCATAGTAAAGGTATATATATGATAGTGACATTACCATAGTAAAGGTATATATATATGATGATAGTAATATTACCATAGTAAATGTATATATATGATAGTAATATTACCATAGTAAATGTATATATATGATAGTGACATTACCATAGTAAAGGTATATGCGTTAGTATAATAGCTTAACTTTGAAACCAATGAAAAATATTGTTTGTTAAATTATATGTGATGATGTTGAGAACACAGATGCTGAAAAATTTGTGAGTGACAACTGTGACCGAGGCTACGTAAGCAGTTATTAATAAAACTTGTATGGGTAAACGACTTCACGAGTGAAGAACGTTAAAGCAGATTACTAGAGTGAAAACTTCATTATATGACATTTAACTAAAAAGAGTTGTGTGTTTATATATGTATCTGTAGACACACTCTCAAGCAACGGTAGTGACGCTATGTCGACGTCAAGTGGAGACGTCACTCCACAGTATCAGTCAAGACTGAGTTTGGCCCACGAGGCTGCACGCTCTCTTGGTGGTCACGTGGTAGCTTATCATTTCTGTCAAGCGGACAACAATGTCACGTGCTTGGTGCCAGAGTTTGTACATAACATAGCTGCCCAGCTATGTCAGTCTCCACAGTTTTTGGGCTACAGAGAGTTACTTTACAAAGATCAAAGGTAAGCATATCTTTCTACTGGATTGGTTAATATTAACTTATAATCAGATAAGAACTAATTATAATCTGGTAATAAGCATAGCTAATTAAATATACTGTTTCATATATCCTTAGTTACTACGGTTAAATACATTGTTCTATCAGTTGGATACTCTTGATATGAACAATGTTTTCGGCAGTAATCCCAATAGTATCCCAAAATATCATAATATTAAATGTAATGACAAGAGAGATGATGTACCAACGTACAGTGAGCGAGATGTATATAACAGCTAATCTAACTTTAACTAACAGTATACGTGAAACAAGCAGAACGGAAAACGAAATTAAGTTAAACTCCAAGTACGTGGAAAATTGTACAGGTTCTTACTACCAGGTGCGACCTAAAAGAAGATTCTAGTACAAATACTTAAATATATATATAACTGTTCAAGCTTGCAACACACAACCAAATTTTGTTTATTAAACGCGTCCTGGCATGGCAGGGTGATTAGGGCGCTCGATTAGGTCGAGAGCTCGAATCCCGTCAGTAAACATGCTGGCCCTATCAGCTGTAAGGTCTTTATAATGTGAAAGTCAATTCCACTTGTGGTTAGTAAAATATTAGTCCAAGAGTTGGCCATGGGCGTTGTTGACTTTCTTCTAATTTATCACTTCTAAATTATTGACCGCTAGCGCAGATAGCCCTCGAATAATTTTGCATAAAGTTTAAAAACAAACAAACAAACTTATGAAGCGCGTCCGTCAGCAAAAATTTCGGGTCCCGTGAGGCATGAGATTCACGACGAAACATAAACATGCCTATTTCGATTAGCTAACTTTTTGTTTGTTTATAGGGCTCATTTTCTGTGGCTTTCTAGGGTTTGAAGGATCAGTGTGAACACTGGCTTAATGATTAATTTCCTTGTAGATATCCTCCAGTATATTGTAACTCTTAACGTGGAGAATGACCGTTTCTTTTTCCCAGGTTTCAGGAGATACTGGCTATGCCATCTTGTATATCAGACCCTAGTTTAGCTTTCGTTAAAGGAGTTCTCGAGCCGCTGCATTCCCTCAGAAGACTAGGTAGAGCTCCGAATATCGTGTGTGTCGTGTTAGTTGACGGATTGAATGAAGCAGAATACCACAGACCTGATTATGGAGACACTCTGGCTTGCTTTCTTTCAAGACACATACTAAGATTTCCACCTTGGCTAAAAGTTTGTATTTTTTCTGATATAAAAGTGAACCAATATCATATAGAAAACCTAATTTATGTGTAGTTGTTTACTTTGTATTGGCAACTTTGACTTTTCAAGTTTCTGAGCTTCTCGATATTATTAACACTTTTGGTTACTTTTCTTGGTTGTTTTGTTAATCAGTACTTTCAATTGTTTGTTTTGTTAGTTAACACTTTAGTTACTTTTCTTGGTTGTTTTGTTAATCAGTACTTTTAATTGTTTGTTTTGTTAATTAACACTTTAGTTACTTTTCTTGGTTGTTTTGTTAATCAGTACTTTCAATTGTTTGTTTTGTTAGTTAACACTTTAGTT